CCCCCAGGTAAGCCGGACGTCTGGTCGGCTTGCTCCTCTCCGCGTCGAACACCCAGGACCGCTCGTTTGGTCACAGGGCGATCGTATATGCCAGTCGATGTCCTTACTGTAGCTGACCTGATTCTACCATCTTTGCCTGGTTGCGTTGCGATGACTCTACTTTTCAGCCAGGAATTCCGGGGCAGCTTCCAAAACTGATTTACCAGCGCTTGTGATGTACGCCAGTTTTGTTTGAGAAGGGCACCACTGTCATCCTGCGAGGTAAACGGTTTCGAGCCATCGGACGACCCCAGAAGAAAGTGGTTCGGTGTGAGTGCAGGTGACGACTCGTAATCGATAGGCACGTGAGTGAGTGGTCGGGAGTTCAGCGTGCTCTCAACTTCCGTGAGTAGGCTCCTCAGCACTTCTTCGGATGGCTTCCTTGAAGGGCAGATGGCCATCAGATTTTTCTTCAGGCTCCGGATTAGTCGCTCCCAACTGCCACCCATATGGGGAGCCAGAGGTGGGTTGAAGGTCCAGCTCGTCTCCGTGGTTTGAATTCCTTCATAACCTGTTCGTAGTCGACTGCTTCTTGCAGGTTCTTGAGTTCACGGATGGCGCAAATGAAATTGGTACCCCGGTCGCTCCGAATAGTCCTTGGAGTTCCGCGTCGGCCCATGAAACTTTTAAGAGCAATTATACATGACCTGGTGCTTAGCGAGTTGGCCAATTCTATATGGATCGCCCGTGTCGTAAGACAGGTGACGATCATTCCCCATCTTTTCTCTGTTCTTCTTCCGATAACAACTTCCATGGGACCGAAGTAGTCGACGCCTACATGAGTAAAAGGGCGTGTGAATACAGCTAGCCGTTCCGCTGGGAGGTCCACCATGATTGGAGGTTGTGGAATCGAGGATTCGTTTTTGCATCGCTGGCAGCCCTTCCTTGTCGCTGCATACTGAACGCGAATGCGATGAATGACGTACTTTTGACGAAGTTCGTTCACTATGGCTTCGTGGTTTTGATGGAGGAATTTTTCGTGGTAGTGGGTGATTAACAGGGAGGTTACAGGGTGATCGTTAGGAAGGATCACTGGGTTCTTTGTTTCTTTGGTGGCGTACTAGCATGCGGCTATTCTACTCCGCATTCGCTACCCTGCGATCGTCTAACCAGGGTGACAGCTTGTATAAACGGCTGCTTTTAGGAAGGGTTCTATCTGGAGTATCACTGCGGTTGTTCAAGAAGAAGGCTACTTCATCGGCATAACCTTCTAGTTGAGCTAGGCGAAACAGAAAACCTTCAGCAGCATACAGTTCGTCTCTAGATAGCGGTCCATTTTCAGCTGGCTTGTTTATACTCCTACGACGGCAGTTTCCGGCAAAACGGTGAACATAAGCAACCACATTGATGAGCTTCTTCCAGCTAGAGAATTTCGAGACGATAATCATAGGATCGGACAAGAAGAGATGTGCCATCAAGGAGGGTCGCAACTCGTTGTCTGTAGGATCTTACTTCGACGAGACTTTCGGCCAATCCGATTCGCTACGGTAGAGAAAATCGGGACCTCTGAACCACCTGGATTCGGGAGTAAGATCAGGTTGCGTATCCCACTTGGTACCATCATCTGCAACGTTTAGTTTTGACGGTACCCAAAACCAATCTTCCGCTTCTGTAACGTTGAGTATTTCACCTACACGATGTGCCACGTACGTGCTGTATCGCCGATGATCCGAATTTATCCAGCTGAGCACGTCACGAGAGTCGGTCCAGAAGAATTCACGATGTATCGTAGTCTGAAGGGTTTGCGTAACCGACCTTGCTAATCTAGCTCCTATGAGAGCTGCTTGCAGTTCCAGTCGTGGGATGGAATGGAACTTCAGGGGGGCCACCCTTGTCTTGGCTGCACCTTAAGAGCAGCAGACGACACCATTGTGTTCGAAACGGTAGTCGGGGTAAATCGTCCAAGAATGATCAAAACTGTAACCAAGGGTGTACGTGTCAAAACTGCGACAATCCTGATACTACGGACATGGTCGAATGCGATGAGTGTGATAAGTGGCACCACTTTGCGTGTGGAGGCGTCACTGACGAAGTCGAAAACCAAAGCTGGGTTTGTGCCAAACTGCCAAGGAAACTCAGCTGCAGCCTTCGTCGTCGAATCATCGAGAAGGACATGTCAGCTCTAAGGTTAGTGTCATCGTAGAACGGACGAGGAACTCCAAACCATCTTCTGTGGATAGAAACAGCCCACAGGAGCAACGTAACATGGTGCCAAAGGTGGTGGTAGCCCCTGCAAGTGAGAAAGCGCATTCAGGGAAGACGAAGGAATCCATCCAAAGGCCAGCATCTTCCAAGCTGTCATCACAATCACGACTGAAGTTGCAGCTATTGAAGTTAGAGGAGGAACGAGCCTTCGAAGAGGCGCAAGCTAAGAAATTCCGTGATTATCTGAAGGATAAGTATGAGCTGTTAGAGCAAATGACAGACCGGACAAGCTCGAGCCACAGCGAATCTAGCAGCCGGGTGAGAAAGTGCGTCGAAGAAATAAACGACCAAAAGGAGGGGCCTTGCTGGATTGTGGAGATGCGCAGCCAACTAGGGATGGTAAACAGGACCACTGTGTGTCGCTGGGTCGTCTGGATCTCATTGAATGACTTCACCAGCCGGAAAATCGTCGGATGATGGATTCCCAGGTGTTTCCCGATCCATCTGTGGTACGCAGTCGGATTTTCGACGAAGGCGCACACGATTTTTTGGCGGATCTGCTCTTGCTTCGATGCCATCTCGATAACCACTTGACAGATTGTGATCAAATTCTGCCAGCGTACACATTACACTCTAAGCTAGTTTCAGTCAAAATGTCATCAATTTTGACCCACACGCTAAAAATTCACCAGCTAATCAAAGTGTCTCACTTTTTTCGAGTACAGTCTTTAGTACAATCGGAAACGCTGACTGATGGCAATATGGTTGAATAGAACGAGTTTTTGTTAAAAAGGTGAAAATAAATCGAAATATTTTAGACAAACCTGCAAAAAGGTGCATAACTACCACGGTCTCAATCCCCGAAAATGTGTGCAGCCGCGTTGTTGATTGCTGCAAAAAAAATATTATTTATGTCGCCTGTCATCATTATCATTCAGCCCCGTTCACACCCGGAACGATAAACATTTCAATTTTCCTCTCAACAACACAAAAATCGTGTGCAGCACCGAAAAACCACCCTCGCCGAAAGTGTCAGGGGTGCTCTCGGGCAAAGAAAACATCATCAACGGAAAGCACAACAAATCAGATAACGTGTGCGGTTTCCGTTTTGCTTTTCATTGCTCGATTCAAAAAGAAGGAGAAAAAAATATTTCATCGTGTCTATTAAAAAAAAAAACCAGCACCCGAACAACGAACGTTGTCGTTAAAGCTTTTTACGACCAGCATCCGGATCCGGCGATCCGGCATTCACCCACGCCGGAATTTATGTGACTGTGCGTCCTTGCTTTTTGGGATGGCCTCAAATTTATGCTGATTTGCACCTTTTGCGGGTTGGACCCACTTCAAAGGATAGGTCACGGAGGGGGGCGGGGAATATATGTTTTATTCAATAGGCGGGGCACCGACCTGTGGTCCACCTAGTTTGGGTCGTCGAATGGGATAAAAGCATCTTTTTTTCCAATGCTTTGAGGCATGGATTGTTCCGGTCGATGGTGATGATGACGGTATTTGCAACCAGCGACTACGACATTTCGTTTCAAACGTCGTCTCCGAGCCAATCTATCAGGCACCCTACCGGCATATTGTTATTGGATCTACGTGGAAGTAGATCAAGGTTCTTTCCATTCGATCATTGCCCCACGGATTCGGAGCACAGAAGTAACTGAATCAATCAAACGTGCATGGTTCGTCGGGGGTTGAGGAGTGGGGGGAGGGGGTTGGTTTTCCATTTATCGGATGGTCTGCGGTCTGCCGGAAGGAGTCAATGTCAAAGTTTTGGATTCGGGTCGTTAGATTGATTGATTGGTTGATTGAGTCGTTCTGCTACATACTTTTGGGGTAGGAATGAATCGAATAAAATTCGGTTTTAATTACGGTAACTGATGTTTCTGTCGGATCCGGTTGATGTTGTGGTTCTCGCCGGGTGGATGGGAAAATATTTGATGATGTTTCTGAAGTATGGTAGACGGATTACAAATTGGTTGTGGCTCATGTGATACACGGTTGAACTTACGTGGGAACGAAACTACATAAAAATCCCAAACGGCATTTGTCAATTCTTAGAGAGCCAAATCCGATTTCACAAATAACGCAACATCGCTCTTCGTCGGAATCAACAGCCATTTTACTCCCAAAACTCGACCCCTCGACCCGTGAGCCACATTTATGGACCCAAATTAATCACTGCTCACCCGAAGCAGACAACCATCAGCCACTACTAAGTCTGTCAATAAATTCATGACGCCAAAAGAGCACTAAACTATTCGTCGGAATGTTTGTATGCCGTTGCTCGGAAAACTTTTCGGAAGAAGTGCTTCTCATATTACACCCCGGGGGACCGGCTAGAGTCTTTCTCTTGAACGACGCCAACCGAAGGCTTCCGTGATAATCTGTCGTAATTAATGTAAATGTTTAAATTTGGTTGGTTTAGTTACATTCAACTCTAACACTAATTCACCATTGAAGGGTTTCCCGACCCACTGTGGTTCTCTTTAATACGACATCGAGTTGTGTGGCGTTCATGAAATTTAATGTTGCCTTCCACAGTTTTTAATTTATTCCGTTTGTTTATCAAGTGCGGGATAAGTTATTTTAATGTTCTGTGATTTTGTGATTTTCTTTTTTAATGTGTAACGATTTTTTTTAATTAAACCATCCACCTGCTTCCTACAACCACTCCCGCCGATAAAGTTAACCTTTCCACTACTGACAATCGTCTAGCGGGAAGGCAAAACTTTCAACCACACACCCATTCCCCATTAACCCCAACGTACGTTTACTAATGTTGATGTTCATTCTCTTCTCTTCCCGCACAGCGCCGACGAAGGCTTCGACGGGACCTACCCAACGAACGTGGTCGTCCGGAACAATGGATCCTGCCTGTATGTGCCGCCCGGTATCTTCAAGTCCACCTGCAAGATCGACATCACCTGGTTCCCGTTCGACGACCAGCGGTGCGAGATGAAGTTCGGCTCGTGGACGTATGACGGTTTTCAGGTAGGTGAATGGGGGGTGGGTGGAAAAGGGTCTTGGAATTAAACGACGACGACGACGATGGCGATGGCGACTGACAAGTGATAAAGTTTCGATTACCGAGCAGCACAAGTTTGTGAATTGTAAATTGAATGGGGAAGGGAGGCAGGGTGACGGAGGGTAGTTTCAATTAAAATTAAACGATTTCATGCTGGGGATGATTGTGTCAGCAGGTTTGCGTGTTGATAATGTGAGCACACGATAAAAATGGAGAATGAATTGTTCGAATCGATGCAGGACGAGGATAAACAAATAAGTTTAATGTATTTACGATATAGTCGATACGGTTACCTGCTACAGATAACGATGAAAATATGCCAATAGATTACAATGTTGATTGCGTTAGTTCAATCGGTTTAAGCTTAATTAAATTGGAATGTACGTTTAATGCTATATAAAAAGATTGGTTATTTTCATATGCCTTATCACAGCTTGGTAGTATGAAAAATGCTACCTCCGGTAGAGGACAAACGTGACTTGACTGCCTTTTCATTCGAAAAATGGGAAATCATCTCGTCACAGTTGTTTCTCAAGATATTCAGCATACACTTCTCCAACTTGAACTTATGGAAAACTACTTTCTCCTCTGAAATGCCGAAAGTTTCTTCCATCTCAGCGATGACACAACATCACTAAATTACTCGTTTTAGAGTTATTAATTTTGCCCGCTAGATTTCATTCCTGGATCACTGTGCACTGCTAGCTGGCATGTAATTTTGCCCACAATTTAAACAAATTTGAATTTAGACTGCTAGCTAATTACGGTATGCAATGTCAATATTAAAAAAATTCTCAACAATTTCGTTTTCGAGTTTTTTTTTTATATTTATTCAAAGGGTGGATGTTTTCAGAGTCTTACACTATGTCGATCGAGTTTCCACTTGCTGCAAAAACGGCCTCCACACGCTTCCGGAATGCACGGCAGGTTCTAATAATATAGTCTGGATCCATTTCTCTCCAGGTACGGGTCAATGTTTGTCTGAGGCTTGCTGTACTCGGGTGGCGTTTAGAACAAACCTTGGCCTTCATGACGTGCCATATTGAGTAATCCATCGGGGCTGGATGGCGGCCATATATCCTGTTCCTGCAACCACTTCTGAGTGCGGTTCGAGGTGTGGCATGGAGCCCCATCTTGTTGAAATACAACGTTTAGCTTCGGACCGTACTGTTCTTTGATCCACAGAAGAACATACTTACTTAAAATCCCGATGTAGACCTCCGTATTGACCTTGTCGCCTTCTGAAATGAACACCGGGTCCATTTTTTTTGCCATCGGAAGCCACCAATCCAAACACCATAACGCTAGCAGGATGCTTGGTCAGATACACGTTTTTGTGCTCGTCGGCCACGTCTTTTACCGGAAGAGAACTAATATACCGGTCGGTTCTGGAATTTGATACGGGATCGACGGCAAACATGCTCTCGTCGGTGAACAGGATTACTGGACTTTTTCGCTTAAGGAAGTTCAAGATTTTCTTGCATCGTTCGACTCGTAGCTCCCAGATGCGGTTGGTAATCGTGTGAGTTTTTTTTTCCCGTGCCCTCGACTTCGCCCCGCAATCTACCTTTACGATCTTCCGTGTCGTAAAGTCACTGATCCCGTGTTCCTTTGCCATTTTCCTTATTGAACGCACTGGATTCACCCGAATCTTCCTTTTGATAGCAGCGATAACCCTCGGAACCCGAGCTGACCTCGGACGACCTGTGGTCATCTTCGCGGATAGTTGTCCTTTCTTTTCTCGGTCTAAAACCCTTTTGACGGTCCACCGGGACACTCCCACGGCGATTGAAATGTCTTTTTGTGACATTTGCGCGTTAGACAAATCATGAATACGCTGCCACTTCGTCATGGTGCAACTGTCAAACTAAGTAAATCATTTTCTTTTATACACAGTAGAGTGTTTCAAAATAGGTCAAATCTGGGATTTCAAACGCTACCCTCTGGAATGGTAGTTTGGGGGGTCAGAATCACCCTGCCAAAATTTGAAGTCATTTGGTTCACGGGAACCCCTCGCTCAAACGGCTTGAAGTTTGTATGGGGAAAATCGACAAAATGTATGGGCACACAACATATGTGGAACTTCATGCAAGACTGCTGACTAAAAGTTGACCCCTTTTTTTGTGTTTCCTCTGTGGTATAACTGGTATAGTTGGTCATCGATCTGTCAGAAATAAATTTTCGTGATTCGACACTGAGTCTTCATATGGGCCAATATCGGAAACGTAAGCAATGGCTTCTTTTGTAAATATCATGTAATTCAAAGTCAATCCATGTAACCCAGCAATTCTATTAGCTATGGGGACTTTCTCTATACACAAACATCTTGGTGGCTTAATTGAGCGAGTTTTCATTCTCAAGAAATTTGAGAAAAAGTTAGTGTTTACGTTTGTGACATTGGCCCTTATGAAAGAAAATCAGATATTTGGTTGTGTGCTCAGTACACGCTATTCGAAAACTACCCAAATTTGAGTAAAATCCACCCTGACCGGTCAAAACAGAATCTATCAAAAAAATGGGTAAACTATGTTGGGAGCAGTGATGGAAAAGTTCGCAAAAAATCACTATGACTCGCGAATTTTTCCCTTGGAGAACTTCGTGAAACATCGCGAACTTTTCCAACACTGGTTGGGAGTGACAGGTTAACAATTGAACAACGTCGGTCGGATCCATGCCAATGTTGCTCATGAGTCAGCTTGTCACTCCCAACATAGGTTACCCATTTTTGAGTAGGTTCAGTTGTGACCGATCCGGGAGGATTTTACTAAAATTGGAGTAATTTTGAAATAAGGTGTAGTATTGACGTTGACGAAGGCTTTCTAGCTCTTTACTCCTATAGAGATTGCTTAAGTGTGATTGTGTCAGTGATTTGTTTTCATCGGGAAAAATTTCCGCTATGAAGTTTTTTTTCCTGATGAAAACATTTTGCGTATACCTATACGTGACGTTGTGTGCCTACGGTAAACGTCAGTAATCTCTATGGTAAAATCCCGAAGGCTAGAAGATTTTGTCTCACCTCTTCACACCACCATGGTACCAGCGAGCCACCGTCTCTTCATTCAAAGATTAACAGGATCTTATGAGATTTTTCACTGGAGTGAAAGAGTAAGGTAATGTCTGACATGTTTCTCGATCAGAGTGACGCTTGCTTATGGGATTTTACCATAGGAGTAAAGAGTTACAGAGTGACCGAAAAGGCTAACTGTCAAGGTAATGCGGCCATTCTTTTTTAGACTAGCTCTGGGGCACAGGGGGCCCTTCAAAGGATTTATTAACGCGTGTTTTCAAGTCGGTCAGAAGTCAATCAAGCGCATTTTTAACCAGTCAACTGTAGATAACCAGTCAGTAGATCTTTGTGTTGGGATTTGAGCAGAAACATTCAATTTTACGCTATTGAGAAAGATAGAGAGGGTTGAAACCTTGGGTATCGATAAGCGCTCGATTTCATTTGTCATCTTTCTTGCAAAATTCTTGTGAATGAAAAGATGCAAGATTAGCTCAAAACACAGCATATGTCTGTTTTACGTATTAATTCCAAGAAGAAGAAGTTACGCTACAGCTATCAAATGAACAAGGCTTCAAAAAATCGCCAGCAAATATACTTCAATTTCTCAACGCACACTATGTTTTTTTTTTTTTCAATATTCAGCTCTTTTTTATACTGGCGGTAGAACTCTGACAGCTTCTTAAGATTTGCAATACTTATATATAAACCAGGACACTTGTTGTAAAATTTGCTGCTTTAAACTGTATGCATCAAATTCCAAATTTGGGCGGTCGTTTTTTTCCCTCATACATTATGAAATGAAATCAAAGTTTGATGCAATTGGTTCCAACAAAAAATATTAATGGAAAAAAATGGTGCATAGGGGAAATGGGTCTAATGTCTGCTGTTTATCAATTGTATCTAGATGAACGCGTCATTGGGACGGTACTAATGGATATTTGCAAATTTAAAGAAATAAACAACTACTCGCTTGGAATTTCTCAAATTTTTGGTAGTAATTACAGAAAAGCAATACGCATCGCTTTCATAATTGAATTGTTAACAGTTAGCCCATGGCAGCTTAAAATTACGTTTTTTAGGTGGCAAGTCGTCGCTTAAAACATCTTCAAAAAATGTCTCCTTTTTTATGCAAACGATAAATTATAATTATACATTAAGTTATATAATTGAAAATAAAGAACGATAGCTATATAATTAAAAATAAAGAACGTTAATTATTATGGCAATACAAAGACATGAGTGCTAAGAAGATAATGAATTATAAACCTTATTAGAAATATTTTAATAGAATTGACTACCCCCTTGATCTCCTTTCTCAATTTATTTATTTATTTATTTCGTCAACCAACGTAGACTAGCACAACTAATACAGTTTTGTTTTCTTAAATATATATTTATATAAAAAAGTAGTGTCAGCTTTCTTGTCTTTTCTTTTATGAGTTGTTATTTCTTATGGAATAAAAATATTGCTTTAGTTTATGCCGAGACATTGTAAAGTCAATGGTTTCGCAGTGTTTATTGTAAGAGGCCATCATGCGGTTTAATGGCCCATATTTTGCATAATTTGTGCGATGATGTTTTATGGAAAATAAATTTTGATTTTGGAGTTGCCGAGTGGGTGCATGGAAATTTAATTTTGATAAAAGTTCTGTTGAGTCAATTCGCTGCGAAACGATAACATTTACAAATGAAACCATTGCATATTCACGACGCTCTTTTAATGTTTGTATGTTTATAAGCATGCAGCGTGCTTCATATGATGGAAGAGGAAATGAAGTCCAACCTAATTTAGGAAGAGCGTATAATAGAAATTGTTTTTGTACTGATTCTAATCTTTCTTCGTGCGTGATTGAAAATGGAGACCATACAATGCTGCAATATTCCAGTATTGACCTCACATAGGCAATATATAGTGTTTTAATTGTGTAAGGGTCCTGAAAGTTATAGCAAAAGCGCATG